AACTTCTCCTCCTGTTGCTGGTTCATGCGGTTCCACAACTCGTTCTCTTCCACCGGGGCTTGGAGCTTTGCTGCCACACTCTCCAGCTCCTTACCCAGGTGGTCAGCATCCGCCTGCAGCTGCTGCTGGAACAGTGAAAGTGTTGGTTTGAACCTCAGAAGGAAAAAGACTCATGAGCTAGCCATATAAATGTAATCTATAAAATAATGGTTTTCATCCATAATCCTTTAAAAAAATTTTTTTAAGCCCTAACTCTGAGATTCTGATATCGCAGGCAGGGCCCCAATTTGTATATTTTTAGCACACTCTAGAGGATTCTATGCAGGACCAGAACAAGGACCCAAATTTTTGAGCTCCTGGCTGGACCTCCCCATAACCTGCATGATCCCTAGACCAAGGTCCCAGCCGGATGGGGCTCCCACAACCCCCGGGGCTCCAGCCACTCGCCTGTGGCAGTAGGAGCTTGGCCCTCTCCAGCTTCCTTTTTAGCTCCTTTACGTTGAACTGGATCTCAGACTTTTCAGATTCTACAAGTCGAAGTTTTTCTTGCCGTTCGGCATTCTTCTCCTTCAGCTCCTCATCAGTTATGCTATGACCAGAGGCAGTAGAGAAAGGAATGAATGAAGAACAGAAAGGACTGCTTTGGTGATCAACCCTCTACTTTCGCCCCACAACCACAGAACCGTGGCATTGGAAGGGACCCCAGGAATTAAAAGTCCCAGGTGGCAGGCCAGAGAGAAGACATGAGTTGCCTGAGGCTACCCATGAGTCAGTGGCACAGCTGGCACTAGAGCTTCCCTGCACACACATGAAAACCTGCATGAGCCTCTCATCATGCTCACCTGTACCCCCCACCTCCCAGCACACCACCCACGCTAAGGGCCTCCAGACCTCCCATCCCACCTTCCCCCATCCTACATGTTTCTGTACAGCTCCAAACACAGGGCGTCCCTCTCCTTTGTTAACTCCTCGATGTACTGCAAATAGAGGCAGGTGAAGTCAGGACACAGCAGGCAGAGGAGCAGCTGGCCAACCAGGAACAACAGCTCTCGTGACTACTCCACAGTAATACTTCCTCACTCCCAATCACACCTGACATGTTCTCAAGGCATTTCCAAGCCCATGGTCTCATTTGTTTTTCTTTGTTTTGTTTCTTTCTTTTCTGTTTTGTTTTTTTGTTTTTTGTTTTTTGAGGCAGAGTTTCACTCTTGTTGCCCTGGCTGGAGTGCAATGGCGCAATCTCGGCTCACCACACCCTCTGCCTCCCGGGTTCAAGTGATTCTCCTGCCTCAGCCTCC